CATGATTTTGTTCTTTTTTATGTCTGCGTAGTATTCCATCGTGTATATGTACCACATTTTTTTAATCTAGTCCTCTTTTGATGGGCAGCATGGTTGTTTCCAGGTTCTTGCTATTGTGAACAACGCTGCGATAAACATACGTGTGCAGGTATCTTTTTGATAGAGTGATTTGAGTTCTTCAGCATATATTCCCAGTAGGGGGATTGCGGGATCATATGGAAGGTCGATTTTTAGAGCTTTTAGGAATCTCCACACTGCTTTCCACAGAGGTTGCAATAGTTTACACTCCCACCAACAGTGTAGAAGTGTTCCCTTTTCGCCACACCCTCTCCAGCAGCTGATATTTTTTGAGTTGTTGATAATTGCCATTCTGACGGGAGTTAGGTGGTATCTCAGTGTGGTTTTGATTTGCATCTCCCTGATGATTAGTGAGATTGAACATTTCTTCATGTGCTTTTTCAGTTTCTTGAAAAACAAAACTCAGCAAGCGCTCCATCCTGTTCCCAGCCCGCCTGAGCTCACCCACCTGGGTCAACGCGGGTCGGTGCTGAGCGGGAGCGCCACCTGGTGGCCTCGCAGCGCTTCCCTGGAACACGTCAGTCCAGGAAAATGATGCAGGTCCCAAAAAGATGACCTGATGGGAAGGACCAAAGCTCGGACCACACTTCCGGATTCACCGTCTTACGAATAAAGCGCCGACGACATGGCCACAGCCTGGGCTAACCATGGAACGTCGCCCAGGCGTCCTGCCAGCGTGGAGGTGGGAGAATCGGCCGTGCTGATCAGGGGCCCCTCACAGCTAGACACTGGCGAGAATGCCCCCTCGGCAGTGGCCTCCCCAGAGGCCGGGGGGGCCCAAACACATGAGTCCCAAGGAAGTTTCTGGGTGGAGCTGCTCTAATTTTTTTGTCAACTTTTTTTGAGTCGGGGTCTCGCCGTCACCCGAGCTGGGGTGCAGTGGCATGAACATAGCTCACCACAGCCTGAACCTCCTGGGCTCAGGCGATCCTCCTGCCTCAGCCTCCCTAGTAGCTGGGACTATAGGCACACACCATGACGATGACTTTTTTTTTTTTTTTTGTAAAACCGGGGGTCTCACTCTGTTACCCAGGCTGCTCTTGAACTCCTGGCCTCAAGTGATCCTCCCGCCTTGGCCTTGATTACAGGCGTGAACCATCACACCTGGCCTGAAAGGACCACCTTCACAACTGGACACACTTAAGTGGCCATCATAACGTCACCGAGAGACCCTGGATGAGCACAAAGCTACTGCCACAAGAGTCAAATTAGAGGTTATCAGCTGCAGAAAACATGGATGTGGCACTTATTCAAACACTGGCAGCACTGTCAGGCGCTTTCTAACTGAGATGCCAAGTGTGTAACATCCCTCACGTGGGCAATTCTGCTGAAAAAAGTAATTCTGATATCGTCGGTGATATCATCAGTGTTTATGCTGTATCATTTATGCTGATATCGTCGGTGGCTTAACTGAACAATGTCTGCAACGTTTAACCCTCTGCACTCAAATGTCCCTTCTGAGGGGACATCGTAAACCTAGCAAACCCCTCAGATGTCCCCTCAGGGGACATGAAGCAATTGCTGGTGATGATACCGGACAAACTTTCACCAGTGCAAATTTTTCAAAGATGTACATTTCCTTGAAGTTTTCCAAGTTACACAAAAAAGCAAATAAAAAGATGCAATATATACTGAGATAAACATAAAAAGTACCAGCTGAAGTTACGTAGAAAGAGAATGTGTGATGTGCTTTCACAGGGGTGCACCAGCTGCACAGCAAATTACATATTATTGATGTGGGAGGAAGAACACGAGACTGCACTGTCGGCTTGGATAGAAAAACACCAGGTGGAAGACATCACACACATTCCTACTACACAACACCCATCCATGAACCTGCAATGCACATCGGTGACTGTTTCACATGTTACCATGGGGTAGAAACATATATTAGATTTTGACTTTTTTTGTCATAACTTCTTCAATGTCCAAAATTCTATTATAAGCCAACTATAATTAAATAAACTGATTGGTTCTGACGCTGTACAATTTAGTATGAAGTGATTTGTTTTTCACTATTTTGTCAAAAAGTGTGGTCAAGTTGCTGGTAGGTGATTGCGAGATGTCTCCGAGTGCAAAGGGCTAATTTTATGAATAAGCACGTACATACCCACTTTTCCCTGGCAAATGCTGTAGTTATTTGTGCCTATTCCAAAAGGCAAAAAAGGCCATGGTGACATCCGTCTTCTATTGATAACTTTTTCTTAGCTTCAGAAAATGTCAGTGTTTAAAGTTACCCACTAACTTTTCAATGAACTACTGAGAGAAGCCTATTGTGGTAAAGCTTTCCAGAGTTTACCAGCATTAAACTTTATAGGCTCAAATCCCCTCAAAGATTTGGGTCATGTCCTGTCTCTACATTGTGCCCCTGCCTGGCAGCGGCCTGCACAAAGGTTGTGACCTCATGACCAAGCGACCTTACCCTACTATATTTCACCTTTTTTACGTGGTTTTCCCGGGAAGATAACACCCTCTTCTGAGCAGACCCATGGCTCTCCGCCCTGAGAGCAGACGCCGTTTTCGGCTATGTCCCCAGCACACAGCAGGCACCCAGTAAGCACACTGTCACGACTGAGCCGAGGTGGCTAATCTGATGACAGTGAAATTTCAGAGGGATGTGAAGTTTAGAGTGGCTAACTAAAAGCAAACTTAAAATAAGGTGGACCTAGTGATCTGCAGCAAGACAGATTTAACTCAAAACCCTGTCAGAAAGCGAGTTTCAGAGTCAGAGTCAAAGAGCAGGAATGAACTGCTACGTCTCTGTAAGACTCCACCAACCAACGCCTTGTGGAAAGTGTTAGTTCCCAAATTTACGTGACCACAATTTGGCTTTTGTAACCAAGCATCTGGAGAAACTGATTCTGCTGCATTGTGTTACATTCGTTTGCACAATAGTAACACTGAAGTTAAACTAGTTTTCACGAAAAACCCAAGATGTTCTAATTTCTAAAAAATATACTGATTTGTACATGTTAACAGTCTATCTAAAATTAAGACCCTAAAAAAAATTAACTGAAGAATCTGATCTTCCCTAGGATGAGAAACCTTAAGAATATATGAAAGAAAAGATCAAACTTCCAAGATCTACACATAAAATATCTTTAATTCTGAATTATACAAAGCCAAAACACCAAACAAGTACTGTTGATAGGATCTACCAACATTTGATTTTTAAATGACAGGGTTATATAATAGATTTCGTGAAACCTGAGTCCACTCAAACCTGCCAGTGTGGCATCAGAGTTTTGCCTTTACTGGCCATAATGACCAAATGGTAAGAACAAGTGTGACAACCACATTAACAAACCCGACAGAACCCGGACGCTGGCAAGCATCCAGTTAAAACGTCAGCACAGCTTCCGTGCGTCAACAAGCTCGAGGAGTTACGCTGGGTTTGAATTGAAGAAAACAGGCCGAGTGGCAACGGAAAAGAGACGCGCGCGCGCAAGGGCTGAAGCGCACACCTGCTCCTCGGGCCGCGCCCACGTGGCACCCCAGCTGCAGGGTCTACCAGGCCAGGCCCTTCGCAGCCTTGGCAGCCTTGGCTTTGCTCTTCCCCTTTCTTCTCTCCCGCTTTGCCTTCAGCCTCTTTCTCTGCCTCTGGCTCATCCACACGGGGTACTGTCCGTGCTGGTCCAGAAGACTCTTGCGGTTTCTCTTAATATCGGTCTCCATTTTCATGGCCTCTAAATGAAAGATGGAAAAGCATTAACACTCATGTGTGAAAAAACAACCCTGTGAAAGGATGTGAACGCGCCGAGAACATCAGAACCAGAGGCTGCCCCAAACTACGGAGAAACCAGCCCTTCACCCGTGGAACACTCTTTACCAATGCTCTGGAAACTCCCACTACAAACCACGGCATTGGACAGACCAAGGCTCCTGCAACCCTGAAGGACACAGGAAGTGTCTGCGAGTGACCAAGGACACCTTGTGTACTGAGGACCTTTTTAGAGAATGTCGCCACGACTGCCCTTCTCTTGAACAGTCAGGTTCAACAGGTAACATTCAGGGTGGACCGCTGAGTGGGTCCACCGGTAGACATGGGCTCAGAGCACGTGCAGGCTCTTACCCTCTCACACTAAGGAATCCTTGAGTTAAACGAGAGAGTTGAGCCATAAGTACACCCACACTCCCAATGGACAGAGCTTAGACACCAACGAACTGGTCAAGCAGGACGGGCCATCTCTAAGGAACTGAGAATGAACTTCTGATGAGATGGCCAGTCAAGAGAGGAGGAAGATCTGGATGGACCTGGACAGGCTCAGAGGAGGAGGATCCCAGGACCCAGCTCTGCCTACAGGAGACAGACAGAAGCTCAGTACAGCCATGGTGCATACACCCATCACCAACCTACTACCCTCCCTGGGACCTTGCCATGGCATACAGGGCTTCCACCGTCTCTACTACCTGACAGTACATCAGATATTCAACACCGTTTCCACAGTGTCTAGAACAGTGTCTGGTATGTGGCAGCCACTCAATACCCAATTGTTGACTGATTATTCTAGGTGCTGTTCTAGGTTCTGGGCATACTGTGGTTCACATAAGCTCCTCACGCTCATGGAGCTAACAACGTTCTGTTGAGGGGAGCAAAAGCAAACAAACAAAAAGAAAATTTCAGTCGGGTGTGGCAGCACACACCTGCAGTCCCAGCTACTTGGGAGGCTGAGGCAGGAGGGTTGCTTCAGGACAGGAGTTCGAGGCTGTTGTGCACTATGGCCACACCGGTGAACAGTCATTGTACTCAAGCCTGGGCAACGAAGTGAGACCCCCATCTCTAAAAAACAAAAAAGAAAAAGAAAAAAGAAAGAGGGGCAATCTCAGCCTGTGGCAAGTGGTTTCTGGAGAGGTGCTGAGTCAGAGGCAGTGGCCCGGGAGGCTTGGGAAGTGTCTGGGAGGACCATGACGTGGTCTGCGTGCAGCTGACACAAGCTGATTCTATAAGAAGAGCATGAGAGTGGAGCAAAGCTATCTACCGCCAGGCGGGTGGACGGTCGCCTGCACTGGCGGGCACAGAGACAGGAGAGAAGGGGAGACGCCTGGTGCCCTGGGGTGGGGGGAACCCACAGGACATGCCGCTGGGACACAGAGAGGGAACTGCGGACAGCCACTCGCCCGTGACTTAGGCAGTCGGGGCAGCCAAAGAGCTGAAATGAAAATGTGAACTCGAGGGCAAAGAGGACCCTGCCGACAACAGCCAACGACTCTCCAGGAGGCACCCAGCTCCTGAAACACCCCCGAGACCAGACATGCTCAGGCAGGGGAGGAGAGAATGCCTCTCTGGGGATGGCGATAAAAGAGAAACAACCCAGAGTCTGACATAGGAGACCTCCTACTCAGACCACCCAGGGCCTGTCCCACTGTCTGCAAGTCCAGCAGCCGACGGGCCCGCCCCAGACCTTGACCAGCTCCAGCATCCAACATCAGAAGAGTGACGGCCACCAATCACCAGACACCTAAGACAAGCCTCTAATAGGAAACAGAGAGACAAAAATGAAGGAATGACTGGGGTAGGGAAAGAACACAAGAGGAGAAAACACAAGGCACAGAGCAAACCCGAATTTCAAAACCAAACTGCAATTAATACCACCGGCGAGATCAGAGATGACGTGCATCTACTAAGAACTACAAAAACCATAAACACAGATGACAAGAAAAAACAACTCAGAAATTAAAAATATAAGAGTAAAGCTAAATAGCACAAGAACTAGAAAATAAAGTCAAGGAAATCAGAGGATAATCAAAGAAAAGAAAGAGAAAACACGAGATAAGAAAATTAGAGGGTAATCCCAGAGATTCCAGAGTTCACAGACGTCTGGTGTCCAGACTCACAGGGACTCTCACAACTCAACCACCAGAGACAAACAACTGAAGAAATAGGAAGGGACGTGAACACGTCTTTTTCCAAAGAAGACACTCAAGTAGTTGGGAAGCACATAAAAAGATGTTCAACACTATTAACTATCAGAGATATGCATATCAAAATCACAGTGAGATACCACTTCACACCCACAGAGATGGCTACAATTAAAACCAAAAAAAGGGGGGACGTATTAGCAAGGAAGTGAAGAAACCGGATCCTGGACACGCTGGTGGCCTGCAGGTGGAGGCACACTGCCCTCTTCCTCGACCGCAGACACCAAATAAATACCCGTCGACTCGAGAGTCTGCTACTATGAATGCTGCCAGATTGGTACATCAGAATGTGCAACCAGGGAGACTTTTCCTCTGCTGGCACCGGCATCCGAGCCTCCACCTGTAGCCTATGATCAAGACACAGGTTCCCAGAACCTGTCAAAATGAAATTCAGTGAAGCCTGTGACTCTGTGGACAGCAGGATAAGGGCACAGGACTCACACGATGTGAAGTAGGCCTGCAAACAGCAAAGGGAGCTGCCTGTTCCGCCCAGGCCTCAACCGAATTGTGGACCCTCCGACCAGGGTGTCTAGATTTGTCTACTGTGTGGTCCTGCTTGGTCCTGACACACCCAGGCTATGGTATGAGCACAGAGATCCACCCCCAAAATCCAAACACACCTATTCACACAACCCCACTTCAAACAGCTCAACACAGGACCTCTGGTAGCACCGTAAGCCTCCAAAGAATAAAAATGTGGTCTTGGCAGGTATAGGGGGTGGGCATGGGTGTGGGAAAAGAACAGTCAGAAAGTGAGAGAATCACAAAAGAAAACTGACGGAGGGACTTTTTTTTTTAAATGAAGGACATAGAGGACAGCTTGAGGCTAGGGCTTCAAGACCAGACTGGGCAACACAGCAAGACTATGTCTCTACAAAAAAAAAAACTGTCTTGGGAAAGCACATCAACTCACCTTTTTCGTCTTTTACCTCACATTGCATTTTCTCCTGGAAAGGTTTCAGAGCCACCACAGTTGCTACCTCTTGAACATCTTTCATTAAAACATCCCCATCCACTCTGAGAATGCTTTTAAGTCTGCTGAGCTCCTTTGGGGCATTCTTCTTTCTCTTTTCAGCACGCATCTTTCTTTTCCACTTACTCCGTAAGCTTTTAGCCATGTTTTACCTGGAAGTTAAAAGAAATACACATTCAAGAGCAATTACTTAATGTTACAAAAAGGACTAGTCCTTGGAAAACCAGGCCAACAGGCATCTCCACAGAACAGGAACACATGGAAGGTAAAACTGTTCAATCCGGTCATGACTTACGATGGCTTAATGTGCAACCTATGTGAAGCTTGATGGGCACATGCGGCCATTAGGTAACAATTAGGAACACCAAATCAAACTCTGTGTGGTCATGGCAAACTGTAAGTCAAGCCGATTCTGAAAGTACCTTGAGCTGCCTTATCAGAAGCAGAAATTTAGTTTCCCAGAAATACAAAGAGCAGTATCCTCTCACATTCATGCAACTGCATGCAAGTAACACCCTGCCCAATCATTACCCACCACTCAAGCCAACCTTCTTTAAACTGAACTATTCCTTCCTCCATTTTCTTCCCACCCCCAGGTCCAGCCCTAAATTCTCAAGGTGGGTTGTGTTATCTTTTATTCATTTATTTTTTTGAGTCGGAGTCTCCCTCTGTCGCCCAGGCTAGAGTGCAGTAGCACGCTCACAGCCACTGCAGCTTCAACCTGCAGGGCTCCAGCGATCCTTCCGCCTCAGCCTTCCAAGTAGCTGGAACCACAGGTGTGCACCACCACACTCGGTTAATTTTTGTTATTGACTGTAGAGACAAGGTCTTGCCAAGATGCACTGGCTGGTCTCAAACTCGTGGGCTCAGGCAATCCTCTCACCTCCGCCTCCCAAAGTGCTGGGATAACAGGCGTGAGCCACAGAACCCAGCTCGTTTGACCTTTTAAAAACTGACAGCACGTCACTGCCTTTCTTGGAATTATCTAATTTGTGATCTGTCCCCTGCCTCCTCCAATTCGATCTCATCCCACTCCCCACTCCCCCTCTCCCCCGCACCAACTACATCTGAACAAAGTCCAAACTGCCTAGTGAGCGCCGTCACACCTGCTGTGCCTACGCCTGGCAGCGGCTCTTCCCAAGGTCGTTTCCCCTTCGGGACCTCAGGAAGGACTTCCCTGACCTCCTTAATACGTGTTACAACCTGAAACGATCCTGTTTTCTACCACCCTCCGCGGACTGTGGACTCCACGAGGACAGAGGCCGCGCTCGGCTCTCAGGGCTCAGAGTGTCGTACAGCCAAGGGGACGTGGACAGCATTTGGCGTCCGCCAGCAACACCGACGCATTCGGCTCCCCTGTCAGGGAGGCTTTTCCTCTGCTGGCACCGGCATCCGAGCCTCCACCTGACGACGGCTGGGACAAGAATCGCGGTGACAACCCGGAGGGCCGAAGCTGGGACTGACGACGAGGAGGGCCGGGCCGTACGGGGCCCGGGGTGGCCGCGGGCACCACCCAGACCACGGGATCCCAGCCCTCGGCGGGGCCTGCACGGCCGGGCCGCGGCTCTGGCTTGGCCCAGCGAGGGTCCAGGCTTAGGCGAAATTCCCTGGGGTGGCGGAATCGAGCCCCAGGGCCCAGTCCCATCAGACCCGGGAGGTCCGAACTCACCTGAGAAACAAATGTGTGGCGAGCTCACGCCGACCGGAAGCCCCCGCACTTCCGCCTTCCGGGCAGACGCACTGCACACTGGGAGGCGAGCTGTCCCGGAGAACCTGGGGGGGGGCCCAAAGCGAGGGCGCGGTGCTCTCCGGGAGCCGAGACGCTTGAAGAGCTCCAGGAGATGGGCGAGGGCGCAGTGCACGCCGGGAGCCCAGACGTCCTGGAGAACTTCGTTGGGCCTGGCGCGGGCGCAGTGCACGCCGGAAGCCGAGACGTCCCAGAGAACCTTGGGGAGCGCGACGTGGGCGCAGTGCAAGCCGGGAGCCTAGCTGTCAGAGAGCCGGGGGGGGGGGGGGGGGGGCGCGCGCGGCGGGACAGGGCGCAGGCGCAGTGCACGCCGAGAGCCGGGGTGTCCCGGCGATCCTGTGGAGAGGGGCTCGGCCGCAGTGCACGCCGGGAGCCAGGCGGTCTGAGCGAACTTCTTTGGAGCGGGACTTGGCCGCGGTGCACGCCGGGAGCCAGGCTGTGCAGGAGAGCCTCGAAAAGCGGGACTCTGTCGTGGTGCACGCCGGGAGCGGGGCGGTCCGGGAGCGGCGGGGCGCAGGCGCAGTGCACACCGGGAGCCGGGCGGTCCCGGAGACCCGCGGGCGCCG